GGCCTTTATTTATAAGAATATTTTACTATATACATTTTCTTGGTCTATATTAACGTTATCTAAGACTATAATGATTACGACTACATGACTTTTCCTACATTTCGGTCCTTTCTGACGATTCTGATTTTTCTAGCCGGGTCACCCTTATTGGTTAGCCGGGTCACGTGGCACGTGACTTAGCCGGATAACAATACTCATTTACCTATTTTTGAATCCTGTATTCTTACTAACACTTTCTAATTAAATTGATAATTCTAACTATTACCTATCAAAAGTACATTTCTATACTAATGATCTGTTATACAAACTTGACATATTTTAATACTCTATATCGAAGCTAATAGGCTAGAGTCTCTTCTGATCGTAACACAGGCCTCTAGCAAGCAGGTGCATGTGAATGAATATTAAAATTGAAATGTACGCCATCAATTGTTGCAGATTTACGTATTACGTACGAAATTTGACAATTAATTCAAGTCTAATGCATTGGGTCCTTCAATTTATTGAGATTGAGCAATTTATTTTCAATGCAACCTACCAATTTATGCATTATCTCTATATAAATAGATTATGGATTTGAGATTTCCTACAACGTACGTAAATTGTCATAATAATTATAATGAACAAAGAATTATTCGTTGGTAATAATAGCGTTAATTCTCAAGGTAAAAGGGTTTTAATTATATCAGCAAAATATCCATTACTAAACAATATTGACAATGAATATAGTATCAAAATATTCTGAGTGGTTAGAAAAACAGTTAAAAAAAGGCGTTATTAAATATTTTGATTATTCTGAGTTTAGAAATGTCAAAGTAATTGGTAGAGGTATAATTAAAATACTTTTTTTAAAAAAAAGTGTCATACCAAATATTTTATTTACTATTTAATACGTACAACCCAAGGCGGATATGGAATTGTTTACTATGCTAATTATCATGGAACAGAAATTGTATTTAAAAAGCCTATTGATGAGATTGCCAAAGCATTTATTAATGAGGTGTGCGATATTGTTTAATAGTACCTGATTTACCATAACCAAAAGCTAATAAAAATCTAAATATAAAATATATGTAGTTAAAACAACTCATTACGGCTAGGGATTGCCAAAATGTTATTAAAGTTTTGGGAATTACCACCGGTATGGGAAATATCTTACTTTGACATTGTCATGCATGAAGTTAGCATCTGCTTGAAGCTCCTGAAGTTGAACCTGCCTAAAATTACTAACTAACGTTAACTTCAAGCAGATGTCAACTTCAAACACAACATTAAATCAATAAATGAAAATAACGTCTGGTTTTTTCAGATTCAAAAGCAGTTAATTATCGTTATATGATGGTGCTACAATATGCAAATAATGGAAGCCTGCGAAATTATTTACAAAAAAAAATCTGTGATGAATTTTTCACAATTTCATGGGTAGAACTCGTTCGAATTGCAAAGCAAATTTCTCTTGGTCTTCAATATTTACACAACAAGGCAATCATTCATGGGGATCTTGTAAGCATGATTTTGAGACCGTTTAGTTTTGAAATAAATTATATTTAATGTCAAATTTCTTTAGCATCCTAATAATATCCTAATAAATAACAATGAAGCTTTAATCGCGGATTTTGGATTGGCACGGAAAGCAGAAGACACTTTGATCTCTTCAAGTTCAAGCTCAAGTCTAAATGGCATTCAAGCATACATTGATCCGCAATGCTATATTTATCTTGATAAGAAAGTTAAAATTGATAAGAAATCAGATATATATAGCTTAGGAGTACTTTTCTGGGAACTCACAAGTGGGCTTCCGCCATTTTTGAGTATTCAAAATAAATTTGTTATACCTAGACACGTCGCATCGGGCCACAGAGAGGAACCGGTTCCCGGGACTCCTTCAGATTACGTAAACCTTTATAACAAATGTTGGGACACCGAACCGAAACATCGACCATCATTAAGTCAAATTCTATACGATCTTGATAAACTATCTAAAGAAGTAAAAATTGATGTTATTAGGAATAATACTGTTGCGTTTAAAAAGCCAGCTAAAACCACGCAACAAACATTATATCCTGAAGATGCATTATACCTTGAAGATATTTTATCGAATTAATTTTAAACTAGATGAATATGTTTTAGAATTGAAAATACATAAATATGGTGAAAGTTAGTAGAAAAGAGACTTATTTTTTTTTCTAAAATTCTTTAAGCTTGTAATATAAGCTAAGAAAATTATATTAATAAAGAAGAATGTTCGTGATTTTTTTATATCGGATGAGATGTTTTATGTTGAGATGTTTGCTATAGCGAAGCAAAATATATTGTAGTTAGTAGTGCAGTGAAACCTCGTTAAGTGCAACCCTTCTAAATGTAACATCTTTTTTAAATGCAACTTCAAACCTGGCCAAATATACTTATACTCGGTTTTGATTAATGAAAATTTCTTTAGTTTTTACAGGTCGAGAATGCCTTTGTATATTAAGAATAATAAAAATAAATGCTTTAAGTAGATAAGTATAAAAATCTTTTAATTAAGGAAAAAATAGTATTTGATTAAATTGCAATACTTGGTGAAGAAATATTAGAACTAGAAACAAAATGTAGTTAGGATTAGTGTTGTAAGTTTGCTAAGCCAGTTGATATAATAGTATTGACTGTTCTTAAAAATCAGAAATCATCGATTCCTTTTTTCTTTATTTCATTAAGATAAATATAACGCACGTGAAGATTATCAGATGATACCCCTACATTAAACATGTTAATGATTCTGAACGTTAAATATTCGCGGATTAACTAATCGTTATAGACGAAGACATCACGAACTTTTTTTATGAAATGGTAATATAAAAACTGCGAGAGTTTATAGTAATTTTTTATAAAACTTTGTACATTCTACGGACGTTTTGTAGTATTAATATGTGTAAAGCATGTTAATTTGCACAAATTATTACATAAGTATTTATATGCATACCATTATTATTTTATATTTTATAATAATTTACGACATATACTACATCTATTTTATACACATATATATAGGGATGGGCCACTACTAGTGATGTCGACATAACGTTTTATCATTACTATGCTTTATATTTTGGTATATATTTTAATTTTTTTCAGTTTAAAGTGGCAATCTTGCCTGTATGTCTTTATTTAGTAACATATGATTACATTTTTATATACAATAGCCTATCAACACAAGTACAACTAGCAACATGTATAACTTTAGTCATTATCTAATTAAGAGTTCTGCTCATAGGTTATTTACTAGATGCTATACCTTAGATCCACCTTTTGATCCCTTATTTAAACTTTTTGATTTTCAACACTATTTGCATATATGCAATATTTAAATTACTATTAAATGATATATTAGGTTAGGGTTATCTAATTACTATTTATATCAAAGTACTATCTTATTAGATATTATTAAGTATCTGTAATTCTTTGAATTTAATCTTGGCACAAACTTACTAAGTATGGTACTAAGATTATTTTTTAGATTTTATCCAATTTTAGTATATTTTGTATTTACTAAACTGGTATTAGTATCAGTAGTATTCAAATTTCAGTAAGTTTATTTATTTCTTATAATTTCTTTTTATGTTTACCATATCATCTACTAATGCATTTTTTTTCATTTCTGGTTGTTTATCACTTCTCTTACATTAAGTATCAACTTTCCATATTGAGAATTTTTTTTTAAAAATTTTTTTATATACTGATCTTTTATTTATATAAACTTAGTCATAAGACTTTGCATATATTCATATACTTTCATAGATTATAGAGTTTTTATCTCTAATTAAAATTGAACTATTGATCTTATTTGTAAAGAGAGAATACCTAGACCACTAGGTTATAGGACTCCAATTTTCAGTATATATTTTAATACATACTAGGTAAATGCATAGCATTGTATATCTGAAGTAAGTATTAAATTACAAATTATATTATATTTATTATATATACTATATAAATGTATTATTATTTAATTGAACAATTATTACATAATGTAATCATATAAACAAACTTTGCATATTACCCTTAACAGAATAATATAGTGCCTTCACTATGCTCTAGACAAATTATAATTAAATTATTAAAATAAAAATAATATAACTACTTATAATTATAAATAAAATATTTATTAAAATTAAACTACCAAATATTGTAAAAATAAAACTATTATAAATTAGAAATAGTAAAAAATAACTAATATAATAAATTTTTATTTATCTCAATATATTAAATTGTTATTAATAATATTAAGAATTGCTTGAATTTTTTTTAATTTAATTTTAGTAATCAGTCTCAAAAAGAAATATAAGATAATTATAATGTTAGTAAAAATATAAAAATTACTATGCTATTCAATGTAAAGCTTTGTTTTAAGCATTTGCAAAAAATAATACCAATTAACATAAAATTATATTAGTCAATGAATATTTTTGTTGTTTACAATACAGATAAAAATATTAGTAAAATAAAATTAATAATTAATATAATACTTATTAAGAACTTCTAACAAAAAATATTACAAATTAATATATTCAGTTGATAATTCAGAATCTCTTTCTATAAATTATCAAAATTTATATGATTATATATTAAAGCTTAAGTTAGATATAATATATCTTTTAAAATTATTAATAGCTAATTTGTGTAAGATTTATTTATATAACTTAATTTTACATATCACTTATCTAAAATATATAACATTATTTGGTAAATCTTAATAAGAAATAGCAAAAATAAATAAATAAAATTTTTAATTTTTAAAAAAATATTAATCTAGTTTTAAATAATGTTATATAAAATTAATTAATTAATTTTTATATTTTGATCAAATTAAAATTTAAAAACTTATAAAAAAATTTTTATTTTTTAATAATTAGTAATTTTTTAAAAAATTTTATAAAAATTTTATAAAAACTATATATATATAATTTAAAAAAATCAGTTAACGGAGATGAGGTCCCATAGCCTAGTGGTCTAGACACCTCTTCCTTCACAGACAAGGTCAAAAACTCTGTAATCTACAGAAGCATATAAATATATACAAAGCCCTGTGGCTTAAGTTCATGTAAATAGAAAATCAGTATATAAGGAAGTTTTTATAAAGAAGTTTCCTGATATGGAGAGTTGATGCTCAATGCGAGAGAAGCAGTGAACATACCAGAAATGGAGAGAAGCTGCACTAGTAGATGATATGTAAACATAAAAGAAAACTACAGAAAAGGAATAGACTTACTGAAATTCGAACACCTTTGGCATTAAAAAACCAGTTTAGTAGATAGGGGTTACACTAAGTCAGATCTAAGTGATAATCTTGGTACCAGCTTAGTAAGCTTGCATCGAGGGTAAATCGAGAGCTATAAATACTTGGTAACATCTAATAGGGTGGTATCTTGATATAAATAGTAACCAGATAGCCCTAACCTGATATATCAATACAATGGTAGTATAAAGGTTGCACATATATGCAATAGTATTGAAAATTAGAGACTTTAAATAGGAAACCCACAGGCGGGTTTCAGGTATGGCAATTAGTAGGTAACCTGTAGGCAGAGCCTTTAAATAGACAATGACTAAAGTTGTACATGTGGCTAATTGTAGTCTTGTTAATAGACTTTGTATATAATGATGTAATTATATATGTTACCTAATAAAGACATACAGGCAAGCTTGCTGCTTCAATAAAAAAAAAAATCAGTTAACTAAATTTATTTAAAAGTTTTATATTATAAAAACTAATATATATATATTTTTTAAATATTAGCAGTGAGGCCATGCCTTTAACTTTATTGAAATTCAATTGAAGTTTTTATAAAGAAAAGCTTG